GATCATTCTTTTCTGCAACTGTAAATCCTATCCGGATCCGGGTCAACAACATCTTTGTCTTTACCCGTTCTGATGTACTCGTGCACTCATTTCACAAGCTCTGCTTTCGTTTTCAGACATTTACACGAATCACCACGGCACTTAAGCCACAATCGAAGTTCTGCGGTTTTAAGCTCTTCAAGCTTTCGACCAAGGAGAGAAGCACCTGGAATGTCATCTTCCGAGAGCAACATCACATTTGAAGAGTTACCGTGTAAACCACTGGAAGAGGATGCCATACTGCAATAAACAAACAAGATGCTTTGAGGCCTTTGTGACCTCATTTTCATGCTATTATCCCCAGGTTCTGCACTACGTCCGTCATTATGAAAGTAGTGTATAAGGGAGACTGCCTTTTGAATTGATTCTCTCTGCTCATATTCAGCCATCATTTCGGGTGTTATCAGGTTAGAAAGACCTTCATCCTGTTTCTCTAGATGCCTGCGTTGACTATCTTTCATGTAAGGTGATGACCATAAGCAAGCCTTCTCTCTCGTCANGGCGACGGCACATCTGCACAAAGGCTGGGGCGAGACCGGCGTCGTGTTTCACTCGCCTGAGCATGTTAAGCAACACAGTGACGGCAATTCAAATGGATCTACAGCAACAATCTCATGTGCATCAATTTGTCATGCTCTTTGGTCTAGTGCATTGCAGAGCTGTTGAATTATCACAATAAAATGGACATTTCAAGTTGCTTGTCGTAACTTTCTCGTTCAAAGCATTTCAATCAAGAGAGGTAAAGAGGAGTGGAAGTTTTGGTGGAAATTTTCTAGTTTCAGTTTTAGAAACAATTTCTGGTGGCTAAAAAAGTTTAAACGACGTTAAACTGTAAACAATAAGGTGCACTTATTTTGTCTTGGAGTAAAAGGTAAGTTGCCCCAGTTTCCCTGGCCATATTAAATTGGATCAGTGATAACTAGAGCACAGAAGATATATATGCAATAGATCTTACTGAATGGATTTTTTCGAGTTTGTGTTATTCTGTGAATTTGCTGACTGGCGGCTTGTGCCAGCGCATGTGCATGTTTCCGCTTCAGGGATGTTCATCGTAGAATTTCTCCTCAAAAAACTATAACAGTAAACACCAGAAAGGTACTCCTTTATGTGTCGTAAGAAAAAATATGGTAATTCAAAGAAAAGGACTCAAAACTTTGTGATGAACCATCACGTTGTCCGCATTATGTTAAAACAGTGAATGTGGCGTCACCAGTGTCAGGATGACGGCAGATTGCAATCAGCTTTTCTGGTTCTGTGCATGACTGGGACAGAAAATAAACTTCCGGCATGGCATCAGCGTGGCTCCCGTCCTGGTGCTTAAGGTTTCTAATATCTTAAACTTAACAGGTATGATTTAATTGTGTCATGTTTGTAGGCATTTTTGGCATGATTTATTAAGAATGTGTCACGAATGAGTTTCCTGTCAAATAGTGATGCCAAATCTTTGGTCGGGTCAATAACAGTGAGC